CCGGTGACGGCGGGGAGGGGGAGCGGAGTCCTGTCCGCTCCCTGCGGAAACCGGCGCTTTGCCCTTGGCTTCGGAACCGCCGCTGTAACCCCGCGTAGCGCTTGGAAAAATGAAATGAAAACCGCAAAGTTTGGCCGTGGCGGGTGCCGGCCCCGGCGCTGTGGCCGCCGCGGGCGCTGCTCGGGGACTCCCGGGCCCGTCCCTCCCCTCGGCGGCGGCGGGGGTCAGGCGGCCTCCCCCCGCTCCCTGCCGCCGTCCCTCTCCGCCCCCCGCAGGTGTGAAGTTGTGGTAGCGCCGTGAGCGCGTCGCCCGTGCCCTCTGTCACCCCTCCGTCGGGGGATGGTTTGTTGGGGGGAAGCGTGGACGCCCGGAGTGGAGCGGGGGAGCGAAGGGCCCCCCGTGTTTGCCGTGGGGCTCACGGGGAGCCGTTAAGCCCCGGGGCTGGGCGCTGCGGAGGGTCTGGCGGGGCGGCGCTGGCGGGGGCACCGTGTCCGGGGCGGCCGTGCCGGCCCGCTCAGCCCCCCCTCGCCCGTCCCGGAGCCTCCGGTGGCTCCTCCGGCTGCCACGGGCTAAAGCCACGGCCGGCCGCTCCCGGAGCGGATTAGAGTTCGTTTTTAACAGTCCCAAGCGGCAGTTAGCGTGCCTTACATAAATGATCAGAAATGGGTATCTGTGGCCAGACTGCTCGTGCTATTTTTGTGAAAGGTTTTTTTTTTTTTTTTTTTTTTTTCTTGCCTAGGAAAATGTAGGAAGTTAAAGTTTCAGAGCTGCTCTGGTTACTTCAAATGTATCTATTTTAATTAACGGAAGTGCTGTGTAAAAAGCTATCTAAACTACAAAACGGTTTGAACATCCGTTCCAGCTAGTACAACTTTTTTTATTTTTTACGGAGACTTGGGGGGCTGTGGGAGATGTGCACAGTGGGAGGACAGCCTCTGCTGCGCTGTTTATTTAAAGTTAGAGAAAGAAACAAGTTTCCGCCATATCTCTAAATTTCTTGGTGTGGGTTTTTTTTTGTGTGGCCCGGTCAGACCTTTGTTAAAGCTTTTGTTACTTAACAGAAGCGGCACAGTTATTATTAAAATGACTAGTAAGATAATAAAAGATGATGTAAACTCCAGAGTTTAAGTGAGAACACTTTTTGTGTGCAGCTGTGGACAGTGCTAGGTTGAAAGTTTAGTAGATCTCTGCTTTGTGCGGCTCCCAGAATTTCACTGTCTGGCTCTTCTTTTCAGCTGGAATGCTTTATTCCTATTCCTTGCACCACTGACAGTAATGGAAGCTGAGAAATGTGTGAGGTGGGAAGCTTCAGTGTAGGGTGTTCTGCTTCAGTGAGCCCACCACAACTCAGTGCTGCTGCTTTAACTAGTCTTGTATTTTACTTCCTGCTTGTCTGTCCTTTCCTTTCCTACTTATTGTCTTGCTTCTTGCCATTCTTTTCTTTCACTTTTTGTTCCCCCGTGGGCTGTGTGTGGTGTTTGGTGCCCGTGTTGTTGCACCACCACTGACCTGGTCTGTGAAGAGATGCCCCAAAGGCTGGAACTGCTTTGGGGCAACTGCCCTTTCCCCAGGCCTTTTTGTGTCTCGCGCTTGAGAAGTTCTGGGGGACATAGGAAGTTATCACGTAGGAAGTAATTAAAACGGCAAAGCCGGTGTCTCTCCTTCTGGCTGTGGGAAAAGCCTGGTAGCTGTCATTTGGTTCGGAGGTGCCAAGATGTAAATTTCCCTTTTGATCCAAATAACCGCTTTCCCAGTTGAAAACCTCGCCCTGAGAATTATTTAGCAATCCAAACGAGTGGCACAGTGAGTTTCCTACGTGGAGTTCAAGCCAACTGAACTGCTCCTGTTTTTTCTGGCTTTCCCATAGCTCTGCCCAACAGTTAAGAAAAGGAGCATCTAGAAAACTTTCTTAATATACCCCTCTTCTCTCACCTATTTTTATTTTGACAAGATTTTGTTTTGACAAGAGGCAAGAAAACCATCAGGGAAGGGCTGTTCTTTCTTTTGGGCCTGTGAGCTCCAGAAAGCGCTGGTCCACAGCGCTCTCGTGGTTTGGTTTGTCAGTCTCAAGTGAGACCCAGAGGGAGGAAAACCGATACTGGGAACTGTGCTTATCAGTCGCTGGGGAAAGTACCTGATATAAAACTTTGATTTTATTTTGAAGAACCCTTCTTGACTAAGTGTGAAAGGGTTTGAAAATGAGAGCAAAGAGCTCGCAGCAGCAGGCAGTGGATGCTCTGCATTTGCAGAGGTAAAAGAGCGTTTTCGGGGGTTGTTCTCGTAGGCATCTGCCAGCCCTGGGGTGCGGGGCTGCCCATGGCTCTGTCCTGGTAGTGCCCAGGGCTGTCTGCTCAGCCGTCCTCAGGAGAGCTGCCTGGCTCTGAGTGGGCCCATCCCACGCTGTCGCACTCCGTGTCTGTGCTGCTTATTTCCAGCTGAAGGGTGCAGGGGCCCCTCATCAGCCCTGCGAGGGACCCTCTGCCTGCCACCTCGTGCTCCGTACGGCCATCGGGAAGCCTCGGGTAGGAAACAGAGAAGAAAGATTGTAGAACGGTAGCGCAGAGCCAACGTGTCCGTACAGAGCATCCTGACAGCCCTGTGAGCGGTGGTGGTAGCAGTCATGCAGAGCACATTCTTGTACTTTCTTTGGAGCAAATCAAAACATTTTAATTTTGGTGGAATTAAATTCATGAATTAATCACTGGTTAATTTCTTCTCAGTCTTTGTGACTTCATTGCTATGGTTACAGGAGTAGCAGTACTCAGGGAGGGCCGTGTCGCTGTTGGGGCCGTGGTGCGGCTCTGTCACAGGCCGAGGGGCTGCCCAAGCCGGGACGGTCACATCGCTCCGGGGGACGTCACCGACCCCTTGGGGCGAGCTCGCGTGGGGAAACAGGAAATAATTACACAGCACGTTGTTATTACAATATAACAAATGTTACTGAGCATTAATTATGTAATAAAATCAGTGCTGTTAAGGTCCTTTGAACATAGTGCTAATGCTTATTAACACAAGTCTGCTGCTCAGGCCCGTTTCCTCCCAGTCCCTACGCTGCCCCTCAGTGACCCCCGTCCCCAGCGCGTCGCTGGGGGCTTGTTGGGGCTGCACAGGAGGACCCCGACATGGTGGTCCCTCCTAGGGATCTGTGACCTGGGGCCCGGAGCATCCCGTCCAATTCCCCAGAGTCATGGTCTCCCTTTAGCTGTGGCTTCAGGAGGAGAAGGTCCCAATGGTGGCTGCCCGGGCACAGGTCGGGGAAGGCCTGCTGCAGTTTGGTGGCAGTTCAGGTCTGCCGCCGACTGAAAACAGTGACTGGCTCCCACGGAAAGGTGAGGGACCAATTTTAGCCGTTCTGTTCCTACCCCTTTAGTGGTGGGTGCTTTTTTCCTCTTGTGCCGGTTTGGGTTGTGCCCAAAGGTGGTCGGGGCAGTGGTGGTGGTTTGGTGGGGTGTTTGGACGCTCTCGCGGTCAACAGGGCCCAGGCTGGTACAGTCTGCTCTGAGACATAAATAGTGTTAATTGCCAGCAGCTTCCCAAGTGACTGTTGGGAACAATGATGGTTTCTCTTCCTCTCTTCTCCTATTGTTCTTTTTTTAATGATGTTTTTTATTAAATGCTTGCCAACAGATTGACTATAAAAAGATTTAGGACTTAACACATGCAAATAAAGTGAGTGCTGGGGCTGGGATGTTGTAAATTAAGTTTTGGTAACCTTTTAAACCTTTCTAATTCTTTTTAGCATTTGTCATTTTATTAATAGGCTGTCTTTGCACATTATAGAACGCTGCTAAATTGAGAGCAGTTAGTGCAAAGTGCTGCAGTCGTTAGGGAGGTGCCTTACAGGGAATATGGGGAAACTAGTGTGGAACTGGACGTGAACGCTGACCTCGGGAGCAGCAGTGACACAGGAGAAACTGTTTTGGCAGTAACTACTCATACCAGACCCTTCTAACAGCACCTACTGTGAGAGACTTCTCTGTAGAAAGTGAAGGGTGTTTGGAAACTACTTTGTCAGTCAGAGGCATGTTGTGAGCACCGCCTCGTCCTGTTGGGATTTTACCTGTGGGCCTCTCTGGAAACTCCGCTGCCTTTGATGGGTCCAGGTAATTGTGTTTGCTTTAGCAGTTTATTTTCAAGGTGACATTTACCTGAGAGGAACAAACTTTGCTTTATTCAGAGTAGACTTATTTAAACATAATAATCTCATTAGTTATTTTCCAGCATTTAAGCAGGTGAAGTGACTAGCTGTGATGATGAATCTTTTAGTGTCATTGTTCTTCTGTCTGCCCCAATTAAAAAAACCAGCCACAGAAGACCAACTTAGAATAGATTGGCAACTGTTTCTTCTGGTAGCATATTTGACAGATACTAAACTGACATCGTGTGTTGGCTTTTTTTATAGCTGCAGGGAAGGATGATAGTTGATTCATGACTCTCCTGTCTCGATCAGCAAATTCTTGCTGGAAGACACGGTGCATTTATGTTAACCCCTGGGAACAGTGACCTATGGGCTGCCACCCTCTGCCCCTGCCACCTGCCTGAACGTTGTTTTTCTGTCTTTATACAGTGAATCTCTTCCTGACCGGGAAAATAGAGAGTGCTGTTACCTCACTAGGTAAGACGGACTTTTCTTATTTGTATTTACTGTTCTTTTGAGTTGTTACTGTTTCTTCCCCACACCAACAGAACTCCTAACAAAACAGCATGGCCTTTGTTTGAGAGAGAGTAACAATGATGTTTTAGAGAGTTAAGCACTTCTACATCTTCCTGGGGTTACGGATCCAGGAAAATTTTCGCAGGAAAAACGGTGAGCTTTGGGCTAAGGTCATGGTATGTGCTGATGTGTTTGGGGAAAACTCTATGCTTAGGAACTCTGCCTGGGAACATCGTGCCAGGGACAGTGGGTTAGGACAGTGTGGTCATAAGGCAAGTGACCCTGCCAGGAATCGTCTTGCAGGAGATGTTCCTTAGAAGCCCTGATAAAAGTTGGGAGGAATTCTTGCTGTCCTAAACATGTCCCAATAGGCAGCGTGTTACAGAGGTGATCTCTATGGTAGGGTAGAGTGCGGTTTCTTTTCAGAAAGCAAGTAATAGCAGAAGTGATGAGTTCTGGAGAAGGCAGGTCGAGCCACTGTCACCATCTCAGCTGTATTTGTACAATGACAAGCTGCTGCTGCCAAGGATCAGCCCTCCCTGAGCCCCTGTCCCCAGGCTCCCAGCGAGACCCATCAGCCCGTTGATGTGGGGAGGGTGAGCTCAGGTTCTGCCAGAAGGCCAATCGCATCCTGGGCTGCATCAAAAGATGCATTGCTAGCAGGTCCAGAGAGGTGATTCTTCTGCTTTACTCTGCTCTGGTGAGACCTCACCTGGAATACTGTGTACAGGTCTGGAGCCCTCAATATAGGAATGACATGGACCTGATAGAGCAGGTTTTTTTTTTTTAATCTATAAAAGATTCATTATTGTCTGTCTTCAGAATTTATCTTTTTTTAAAAGCACCATCTCAGTAAGATTTTTGGTGGGTTGGTTTGCCAATCCAGGGTCAGGTATTTTCTTACATTTCTTCAGTAATCCTAAATGTGGAAAATGTATGCCATTTGGGGCTTTTAGTAAATTGGGATTTTACTTTTCCTTCTGGGTTTGTGCAGAAAGGCTGCAGCAAGAGAGTTATAGAACAGTTCTGAAAAAATGTTGTCACTGCTCTTCTTGTATGTTGTCGCTGATGATAAGGCCTTCACAACCCAGGACTGTACCTTTCTATTTAGAGACTTCCCTTTCCTTTAGATGTTTTGGCAGTTTGAAAAGGCTTTTGTTTGTGTTCCTGGAGGAATCACACTGTCATGCCGAAGCCCAGCCGGATGACACAATACTAACGCATGTGTGGGAGCCTGCAAACTTCACGGCCGGGAGCAGTGGAGGGAAGTGGGGCCCCTTTATTGACACTGAAACCCCAACAGTGCCAAATAGTGCCTTTGCGTGGTTTTGCTGTTTTGTTGCCAGCACCGGAGGCTTTGTTCAGTACTGTTTTTTCCATCAAAATTGAAGTAGGTGAAAGAAGAGTTGCTGGAAGTGGTGCTCGGGTGCTTTGCTCATCAGCCACGCGGCGATTGGGAGGGAGGGAGCAGAGACTGGTTCCGGAGATCTGCTGGTACATTGCAAATCCCATAGTAATAAGCATCGATGGGAAATGAAAGGCAGCAGAAGCACAAGGCAATTAAGTGAGGGCTGGGTAAACTCCATCGCAGTTTTGGGGGGTGGGTGAGTGTGCGTCCCCAGTTTGCTTCAACAGGCTTAGGGGACTGTGGGCACATCCTTAAAATAGCATAACTATGTTTTGGCAATATGAATTCAGATTAGTGGTCCCTTGAAATCAGGAGTCTTTGTAAGAGCAAAGCAGTTGTCCTTTTAATTTTGAGCAGGGCAAGTGTGGAATGCTTGTTGTGTGTCGGAGGGGTGAAGCCATGGGAAAGTGTGGAGCAGCAATGACTGTTGCCAGATGAGCTGCCCAAAATGGCGTATAGTGTCAGTGCAGCCCTTACCTTGCTTATGTCCTTAGATTTTCACAGCTACAGTTCTTCTATTAAAATGGAAAATCTTTTTTTTTGGTCTGTTCTTCTTCCCATGTCCCACGTTCGGAGCAGATGTGTGGTGTTAATAAGAAAAAGAATTTCTTGCTGAGAACCTGAGCTGTCATGTTACATCAGATCCACTGCTTGCAAATTAGGAAATGGTACATTATTGCAAAAGAAAAAAGGCGAGTGGTGTTACTTCAAAAAAGCGGGGTTACTTCAAATAACTGTTGCTCAGGATCTTTGTAAATTCTTCCTAAAACAAGTATTTGGGGGAATAATAGCCCTGCTGAACTGCAATGATGAACACGCGGGTGGAAGCGCTCCTGCGGAGTCACCAGCCTGTCCATGGGGCTTCCTCAGAACCCAGGCTACAATAAGCTTTGTGTAATTATGATTCTCTTCTCTCTTCTAATGCACGTACTATGAATAAGGGATACTAACCCAGAGCAGTATTTGGTACAAGGGGAAGAGAAATACTTGCAGAGCAGTTGCTGGAAGCCTCTGGATTGTGCTGTCTGGTGTGTTTGCTCTGTCTGCCTCGTGCATTGTGTTTCCTTCCCATTGAGAAGTGTTAGTCGCCTGGCAGTTAGGAAATGCAGTCTTCCCAGCTCCTTTTGTGTGGGTGCTAGCTCCAGGTCCTCTTAGGCTGCTGTGATACGCTGATGCAGTGACAAGTGTGTGGAGGAGCACATTTATAGACCTAAGCAAACCGAGAGCTGGAGTTGAAAAGTCCATTTACTTACTACCTTACATTTACTTCTATAATTGCATCTGCATCTCAGCATTTTGCCAGCATCTAGCATGGAACTTCTCTGGTTTTAGAAATGTGATAACAAAAATGTTCTTGTTTTTTGTAACTGTTTTACTGCCAAATATTTATTTGGAAAATAGATGTTTTCATGTGTTTATGTATTTTGTATGCTTTTGTGGCCTTTGAAGCTAGTAGGAATTATATGCATGTGTTTCATTGGAATGCTCTGCCTGGAGAGTAAAATTAATGCCTTTTTATATGTTTTGCCTCAGGTAAGTTACTCACCTCATGATTTCTGTATTCCTGTGGCTCTTACTTGAAAAGTGCTTACTGTGAGCAGGCAGGATAGTGCTGGGCACAGATTTCCTGGTGGGAGTAGGCTGCTGCCTGGCCCTGTCCCCGGCCCTGTCCCCAGCCCTGTGCCCAGCACGGTGGCACCATCTCCCCATCCCTGCGGTGCAGCTACATCCCATACCGACACCGAGCTGAATACAATGTGTTTGTGTGGCTGAATTTCAAGCAATACTGTAAAATCTGTGATTTATAACACAGTATACTTGGATGTGTGTGCATATGAGGAAACTTGAGGTATAGGCAACCTTTTTCTTGCTTGCCACCTTTTTAATATACAAGAAAGTAAGCTTCTGTCAGAAATTGGAATATTCAGCTGCAATCCACAAGTCATGCTCTAGACACTCATTTGTTTTAAAAATAGTTTTAAAAATATTTTTGGAGAATGTTCAGAGTAGCTATTGCATTACAGAGAATTTCCCCTCTTGTAGTCTGCCGAGAGTACATTTTCCCATCAGAACAGCTTTCCCACTTGTCCTTGGAACATTTCACTTTCATTTTTGAATTGCTTAATTACAAATTATAAGTATTTGATGTAGCCTTAATTGCCCTGCTGTTTTCCATAGGAAGAACTGAAAGTGCTTTGAAAATACTGAACTTTATTTATCCCTATTTGCTCCTTTCCCTGCCTGGAAAATCTCTACCATCTATGGGAGTTCAGAAGGAATTCAGAGTATGCAGTAATGTTGAGTGAAAACATTTGACATCGCAGTCCCGTCTCCTTTTTTCTTTTTTGTCGGGGTAACCATTACAAACTCTTTGGGTCTGTCGTATGGTTAGGAGAATAGACAACGTGTCCAGGAAAAGGTTACAACAAAACCAGCTTCTAGATATTTTCAGTGAATATGGATCTGCTCTGAGAAGCTGATAAGAAGGATTTCTGTATCGCATCCTCTTGGCAGATCCATGGAGTAATATTGATTGTAGCCTTTGGTAGATTCATGCAAGGTTATTGATCGATCCTGCATTGAAATGCAGGTTACACTTACCTACACTTAGAGCGGGTGTTTTAATTAAAAACCGGGCCGGGAAGAAAGCAGTAAGGATAAAGCTGTTGACTCTCGTTTGTCTGCAATCCCCAGAAATTGCTGAAAGCTCTTGTCACTAATGTGAATTGTTGATTAGGAAAGCATTAACAATCGTATTTTTCCCCCCTTATTAACAGCCGCTTGCAGTGGAGAACTGGAGCAGCACACGGAGAGACGGGGAGTCATCTACAGTCCCTCTTGGCCGCTGAACTACCCCCCGGCTGTGAACTGCAGCTGGTACATTCAAGGAGACCGTGGAGACATGATAACAATCAGGTATGGTTCCACCTTCCCTGGAGATACAGGGTGGCTTTGCTGGAATGGAAGACACTGTGATTTCCCCCTGGGCAGAGCCATGGGAGGCTGTTTGTGGGCGCTGAGTGTGGCGCAGGGAGGCTGGGGGTGACCGGCTGACCACCCCTCCTTTTACTCAGGTTCCACTGCCCCTTCTTTCTGTGGGCTGCTCCTGACGCCCGTTATTATATATGCAAGTCGCTTCTAGTCTTGTATTTATCTTCATAATACCTGTGTGAGATTTCATCCACCTCTGGCAGGTGAAGTGGTGGGGAGCAGTGGTATATCTACTTGTGTTAAATACTCCCTTTCTCTTCATTGCTTATAAATAGGAATAGGTGAAGGCTGTAAAACCTGGAACAGCCTCATGGGATATGTACAATTTTCAGAGCAAAAATGGCTTTTTCTGTAAGGTCTTGAAATGGTGCTATGTTTTATTGACAGTTGAAGGTAATCATTGCTTATTGTCACTTGTTAACCAAAAGACACATGCTTTTCTGCTTAATATTTATTTCCAACAGAATTAAATAATAGCTAGCATTTTTGGCACAATTTCAGCTCATTCTATAAAAATATGACTCAGGCTATAATATATTACAAATGGTTTGTTCAAAATGTTTAGGCTATAATATCAGCATACTGTGAATGTGCTTAATTTCTCTGGGCTAATCGTCGTGTCCTTAAACTAAGAATTTCTTATTTAAAAAAAGAAAAAAAAAATCTGGGAAAGGGTTTTTTTGTTTGGTTTTTAGTACTGTTGTATTTGACACCATCTGCTCATTCTTTGCTCAGCTGCTTAAAAGGACTGCAAACCTCTTCAACTGCAGATGCTCAGCAATTAAAAACAAATCTGCCACAGATGGAATAATAGGAGGGCTCCACCATCCGTGGTTCAAAATAGGAACTACTCATCAGAAGTGAGGAAGCAGGTACCTGCCAGCATTTGAGATCCATAAATAGAAACACGCTTTTAAACCCCATTAAATTGTATTGGACTGGGGGAATTTGTTTCAAAGCAGAGATTGTGGAAGCTGTGAGGCAGCATACGAATGAGAGGCAGGAGCTGGCTCTGGAGAACAGCGCTGCAGCTTGTGCCACGGGAACCTCTCGCAGCTCCCAGTTAGAATTAGGGTTCTCTTCTGCAGGTGTGGGTGCAGCAGAGGGTGAGGAAATAAAGGGGAGTCAGATGAGGGAACTGGTGGTGTGTGTATGCAGTTTAGATGTGTGCACAATATGATTTGAAAGATTTGTTCCCGATGGGTTGTTCTGTGTCTCTGGGCACACGCAGCTGCGTCCTGCCCTCCCCTGCCCCAGCAGACAGGAGCTGTGCTACCTCCTGGGGAGCTCTGCCTCGGCTCTGGCTGTCCGTGTGCTGGGGATGACTCACTCCCCTCTATGAAATGCAAAGTGTTACAGCATCTGAGGGTCTCTTTAAAAGGTTGCAGCCCTCGTAATGCCAAGGACGTAAAAGAAACAGCTGACTTGCCTCAGCTGGCGTGGTATAGGCGAGCTGGGAAAGAGGGTTCAAATACAAACATTTTTCCTCTTAACAGCTGGGTATGCTTCGTGCCCTGACAGTGAGCTGGTAGGGGCATGGAAGAGTAGCTTTTTAAATTTTCCTGAGAAAATCAAACACAGTTGTTGTGATAACATCTGGATTTTGAAAGGTTTAAAAAAAACCCACCCCACCTCCTTTGTGTTGTGTCATGCTGAATGCATTTCCTTTGATCTTGAATTCTCATTGACAGTAACAGAGCGATGTTGTGTGAGTATCATGTTTGAGATACAGCAGGAGTCATTAAGGGATGCGATTGCAATTGAAAGTAGTTTTGATTTCTGAACATTTGCAGTCAGTGGTCATTTTTTATAAACCTGTTATTCAGCAGCTTTCACCAGCACGGTGCCCAGGTCTCCGTGTGGGTGGAAGATGCTGGCTTCTGTGGGCATGTCCTTCTGAAGCTTTCTCTTCATATCTGCCTTTCATGTGTGTGTATTGATTTTCTTCATATCCTCACATTTCCATGCTTATTGTTTTGCTTTATAGTTTACTTTTTAGAAATCCTTGGGGGAGACTTCACAAGAACAGGAAATACATGTTCTTTGTGCTTCCACCTCGCTGTTAATTATGCACGTTTCAATACTGTCTTCCAAGTGTGAGTCTGGTGGGATGGTGCTGCTGAGACCTGGGAACGACTGTTTTCCAGGACTATGTTTTGTCATTTTAGATTTGGGTAATCAGTCTGTTAGTTGTTGTTTTGGAAACTACTTGATTTTTTCCTCCCGTTTTCCTCTATTTTTATGCCTGTTTTCACAGAAGACTACATAGAAATCCTGTAAGATGAGATAAAGATGTCATATAGAGCAACTGCCTTTGTTCCATCCTTTACAGGCTTTATATGTCTATTTTTCTTCATACTCGAGAAAAAGGTCTAAATTGGTTTTGTTTAGCAGTTGCTGTTACCTGGTGTTTGTAATTAATCTGATGTGGGCATAGCATAAATGAATTGCATTTTATTGTAGGAATTTATGGGACCGAGGGTGAAATGTTCTCCGTGTTCAGAATTCAAGCTAAGAGTATTGAGAAGTTATCTACTTAGTGACCCACTCCAGCTGTCTCTTACTAATTGGGGGGGACAGGATTGCCTTCATTGGCTTTCACTTCAGTGATGCACATCATTGGCTTTGAAAAAAGAAATTTCTGGATACCATCTGAGTTTCAATTTCTGAGTAAAACTGAGAGGCCTGTTCAGGTAAAGACTTGCTGTTCTGTAATTGTGTGAAGAATTAAAGGGACTGCTTCATGCTCTGTTCACTAAACTTGAAGTGTTTCAGAACTTGACATTAACTGGAAAAAAAAAAAATTGCAGTATCCCTTATGTCATTGAGTTGCATGTGCTCAGCGTTGGAACAGGCCAGCCCCAGCCTCTCTTGCTGAAGGTTTCACAGTGAGCTGGTGCCTGGGAGTGCCATAGAGCTTTCCTGACTCCCAGGTCCTCCTGCTTCAGTGGTTAAGCAGGAGTTTTTAATGAGCCAATTAAGTCATCAGTTGTTCACAGTCTGCACTTGCTGTGAGAGGTTGGCAAATAGAAGTAACTTTTCTTGCTTAATTGGCTGGTCTGTTTTATTTTGGGACTGTGCTCTACTGATCTCTACCCATAATATTTAGTCTCCAATTTTTTAATGAGGGTAGAGGGCCAAATTGGACTTTTTTTAAAAAAAAAAAAATTTACTAATTACTTTCATTCAGGTTTTACATCTGCTGGGCCTCCAACAGTTTAGCCCCTTTTTGTTCACATCCCGTCCTTGCCCTTTTCCAGTTACTGAGAACACTTTTTTTTTTTTTTTTTTTCTATAGGAAAGCTCCTTTTCTAAGAGTTACAGATGTGATCTGTACCAAAGGCAGCATATATCACTGAAACTGAGACAGAATGAGATTTTTGTAACAGCCCTGCAAAGTTAGTTTCCTATTTCCCATCAACAGCCAAGGGATGAGGGGACTTAATATCATGGGACCACGAGCAGCTTGTCTGCATGAAAATACAGGTTTTAAAAACAGTAGAAGGTAATAACTTTATTTGGCCCTTTTATCCCATTTGTGATTAGTGGAAGGTTAACAAGGAGTGCAGGGAGAGAAATCATTTTTTTTTTTTTTTTTTTTGCTTTAATCTGTAGTTGCTCGTGCTTAAAATACTAAGAGGGTTGTAGGGAATTCCCTACATTATTTATAGAAGTATTTTTTTTTTCTATCTGCTGCTGCTCCTTTCAGTGCAGATGGCAAAAAGCTTAGCTCTGCTAAGCATTAGTTTTGCAGATAGCATGGGGTTTTTTTCATATTTATAGAGCATTAATGGGAATTTATGATAATCTGGTTTCATGAGGTTCTTTCCAGCAATTTAAAAACTTAAAATACTTGTCAGTTAATGGGAAGATAAACATTGTAGGCTAATGTTGCTTCATTTGAGTAAATCGGGCAAGATCTGATCACTATGCCCATTCCTGTAATTTTCTGTAAGCTTCTGGAGTCCTGCTCTATGTTGAAGGTAAGCTTTATCCAGTTTTACCTATTTTTGCAGAATTCTGTAAAAACAGATTTAGCACTGCATTTGTAAGTTCATGTTGAGTTGTTCTGATCTCAGAGTCTGAATGCTTCCAGTGTTTAATAGACTATTCTTGTACTTTTGTATAAAATCAGAGGATTTATAAAAGAAATTAGCTGTGGTAGAGACCTTCCAAAAGCAGGATAACCGGTCTCGGTGCTTTCAAATAGCATCTTTCAGAAGAAATAAAACCTGAAAAATTTGGTCCAGACCAGATTTGAGAATGGACCCTTCTTTTGCTTTTCCTCCCAAACCCTCTGCTTCCCTGCCCAAGGTGTTTGAAAACCCGGTGTTTCTGGCTGGTGCTGCCTGAGGTAGGGCTGAGATCCCCCTTGGCGCTTGCCGCTCCGCTGCGGCTGCATTCCCTTCTTTATTTGAATCACAGAAAATGATGTGGGGTTTGGATACAGAGTTCCTGAGACCTCCCTCAAGAACTGTAACTACAGACTTCATTCAGGACTTTTCCAAGGACTGGGAGGTGTTTGTACAGTCCTACAAGCAGCAGGAGCACCAGGCTTTGTCCCATTTATTTCCACTGTGTACCATCACCCGTTCGGCCACTGCACTAAACCTTTTGACAGAAAAATTTGCATTCTGGTTTGAGAAAGTTCAACTGAATAAGTGAATGTCCCTGTGCTCTATTTTGCGGGTAGCAGGATTAAATTATTCTTCAGAAGGCTGTAGGAGCAGCAGCACTAGATCTAATTACAGATGATGAAAGAAGTGAAGTAGCAGAGGTTGCAGGCAGTATCCAGGACTCCTAGGTAAATAAATCAGAGGGCTGTTTAATGTCAGGTTAGTGGGGCAGAAACTTCTGACACAAAACCTTGTTGTTGAAAATTCAGCATAAAGCGAATCCCAATTCCACTTATTTACATGTGCACATGTATGTATATGTGTTGTTTCATACTTCATTACAAAGGAGGGGTTTTTGTGGTGAGGTTGGTGGTTGGCTCTTTCAAATACACCATGCTTTTGGTCTTGAGCAAAATCACCATGAATTTAAATAGGGCAAAATTTGCTTCCAGTGGAGACAATATAACTTAAAAGGATGCTGGAGTGGAGTGACAATGCCTTAGTCAAAACCAAATTTGTTCAAAATGTGTTGATTAGTTTGCATGAGGTAGAACATAATTGCTTTGGCTTTGCTTTCACCCTTATAAGAAGAAACTTTATAACTGTAATGGTATCTATTATATGTAAAGCTTTACATCAGAATAAGAACATCTGTATTTCAGAAAAATTATGTTTATTCAATGTTGTTTGAAACTCCTAGGCACCTGTGATTAAGATGCTTATTGTTTGAGCAACCTGGTCTGGTGGGAGGTGTCCCTGCTCAGGGCAGGGGGTAGCATTGGGTGAGCTTTAAGGTCCCTTCCAACCCAAACCGTTCTGTGATATGTTTCTAAATTAATCTGTCTTCTGTATAATTTATTCTGGAATTTTACTTTTGCTCATATCTGTGTTTTAGGAAGCAGTTTTATTTAAGGACTCTTGAGTAAAAGAGGAATCATCCTTTCAGCTTTCAGAGCTACTTGGCATGCTGTTTATGCCTGTGAGATGGGTGCTTTTCCAAATTGGGGGAATTTGAGTGCTCTGTTTATATGCACTCAAGATACTGTAGGTGTTTCATTATCTGTGGATGTGATCTCTTTATGTCAGCACTGCTTGGTGCAGAATGTCAGCTGCTACAGTCTGGTTTCTCTGTGTTTGGCTTTGTTCCGGATACACGTCCTCTTTGTAACTTCTGTTTTCTTTTGTTGCTAACAGTTTTAAGAACTTCGATTTGGAAGACTCTCAGAAGTGTGCAGTAGACTGGTTGATGATTGGCCCCTCTTCCAAGAGGGAGGAGTACAAAGTGTGTGGATCTTCCATACCTCCGTCTTTCATCTCTGCAAGGGACCACGTTTGGATATTTTTTCACTCAGATGCATCAAGCTCAGGACAGGCTCAGGGATTTCGCCTTTCTTATATTAGAGGTAAAACCTTACAGTTTTGTTGGCTTCACTTATACTCTCTCTGGCAAAACTTGAAGACTAGTATTTTTTGTTGACGGGAGTCTTGGGCCAGCCTGGATGGCTGCAAGGTGTTAGCACGATAACACTGATGGTATTTCCACTTGGCCTGTTAACAGGATTCCTGAAGTGTGCTGTCCTGACTGACTGACTTGTGACATGCAGGGCTGTAGATGTTAAAAAGTGACATCAGATAATTCCGAAAGTTTTGATACTGACTTTTCTCTCCCTGCCCTCTTTCACAGGAAAGATAGGTCAGGCTGTGTGCCAGTCAGATGAATTCCGTTGTGCAAATGGAAAGTGTATTCCCAGTACTTGGAAGTGTAATTCCATGGATGAGTGTGGTGATAACTCGGACGAGAGAAACTGCACTGTCCCTCCCACAGAGCCCCCGTCCAGCATCTGTCCCTCAGGAATGTTCCAGTGCAGCGCAGCCCACTCCACCAAGTGCTTGATGAATGAGCTGAGGTGTAATTCAGTGAAGGACTGCAGCGACGGTTCGGATGAAGATAATTGTCCTGATCTTTCCTGTGGCAAAAGGCTGGGTAATTTTTATGGATCTTTTGCTTCCCCAGACTTATTCCGTGCTGATCACAGCAGGTCAGACCTCCGTTGCACGTGGTACGTGGACACACAAGATAATCGACATGTTCTGTTGCAGCTGGATTTGCAGTTAGGCTACAACGACTACGTGAAGGTGTATGATGGCATCGGAGAGAGAGGTGATAAACTAATGCAAACATTTTCATACCACAACAACAGGCATTCGGTGAGCGTGGAGTCGTCAAAAGGCCAGCTCACTGTCTCGTACCACGCTCGCTCCAAGAGCACTGGCCATGGGTTCAATGCCACCTACCAGGTGAAAGGCTATTGCCTGCCTTGGGAGCACCCCTGTGGAAGTGATGAGGAGTGTTTCACGGATAAGCAGCACTGTGATGGCTGGTGGCACTGCCCAAATGGCAAGGACGAGGAGAACTGTCCCGCCTGCCAGAAGAACGAATACCCATGTGAAGGAAACAGTGGGCTTTGTTACTCAATACTTGACCGCTGTAATAACCAAAAGAACTGCCCAGATGGCTCAGATGAAAAAAACTGCTTTACTTGCCAGCCAGGAAACTTCCATTGTGGTACAAATCTGTGCATCTTTGAGACGTGGCGCTGCGATGGCCAAGAAGACTGCCAGGATGGAAGTGATGAGCATAACTGTCTGGTGATCGTTCCCAGGAAGGTCATCACCGCTGCCCTCATTGGGAGCCTGGTGTGTGGCCTGCTGTTGGTAATAGCACTGGGCTGTGCGTTTAAATTGTATTCTCTGAGGACCAGGGAATACAGGTAAGCATCTTGTTTTATGACTCTTTAATAGCTGGGGTATGTTTTTTTTCCTTTTTTGTTTAAAGGAAAAAAAAAATCGAATTGTTAACCAGATAATTCGCGAAATTCTGTGAAATCAATCCAAGGAATTGATGACAATTAAATAGCAGCCACTGCATTAGGTTTAGAGAGGAGTTGTTAAGATTTTCGAAAGTAGCGAGGGGAACATCAGCTCTTCTGTGATCTATGAGAAATAATCATTTATTGTGCAGCCTGGCAGAACCTGTATCTACCTTAAAACTGTTTGGAGCAATTTCCTGTCCCTGCTGCTCCCCTTGCCCCCGCCACAAACTGATTGCTGAACTGTTCCAGCTGAATCTGGCCTGAAATGGCCCCTGACCCTCCCCAGATACTCCAGTTCTCAGCTGTGCAGCATTGGGCCCCTTCTGGGCAGGAGCTGTTTCCTCTGCTGTGCCCCTTCCCCGCTCCCGTGTGCCGTGTTGTACAGAGAGCCTGTGTGTTCCTGTGCCTCCTGCCCTCTGGAGCAAGCCATGAGGGACTGTGTGACATGAGGCTCTGTGCCGGGCCCACCGGGCCGTGTTTGCAGCACAGTGTGCTTCACCCTCCCTCCTGCCCAAATCTGCCCTGGGAAGGGGCTGCCGTGCCTTGTTGGGATCCCCAATGCCTTGGTTCTCTGCAGCTGCAAGCTGCCCTGTTTTGGGATTGTTTCCAGTTCTTAACGTTGTCTTTTCCAGAAATAACCTTTGGGCCCTTGCTGAACAAGTCCCTGCGATTACTGGCCTACACTGGATGATGGATAAAACTTCTGTTGCCGCAGAGCCCTATCTGGGACTGCACCTGAGAGTTTGCTGATCGGGTTGACTGATACCCGTGCCCTGTACTCTCATTCCTTTTGTTTATTTTAGCATCCTGATGAGGTTTTCACAGAGCCTAATTGAAGGTTTGCATTTTTGCTGCACGTGAAGCCCTGTGCACTGCTCTTATACCCGAGTGTGAGGAAGGCAGGACAAACTGCCTGTTACTTCTCTTCCACGTCTTCCCTCTGGTTGTTTGCAGAGCGTTTGAGACCCAGATGACACGGCTGGAGGCAGAGTTTGTGCGCCGGGAAGCACCACCCTCCTACGGGCAGCTGATTGCACAAGGACTCATCCCCCCCGTTGAGGACTTCCCTGTCTACAACGCCTCACAAGTACAGAGACACCAGAGCCAGTGAACCCACCAGCCAAATGGCTATAAATTAGATAGAATCAGTCGGAGCTGTATTCTTTTCAGTAGCTGTGCTAATTATATGAGAGTCCTATAAAAATGCATATGTTTTGCTTGGAGCTGAAGAACCAGTTAAGCATCTTGGAGCTGTGGGTAGTGTTGAACATGTTAAGTGTGTTTGCTGGGGAATAGTAGTGAGATAAGCACACTCTGGTTTGCTGTGCATCAAGATAGTGTGAACAGAGACAGAGAGAAAGGTCAGAAAGTAAATAGAAAGAAGGCTTTTCAACCCGAAACTGTAACATGCCTGAAGCGATAAGAAAATAAGGTCTCTAGCAGCAGTTTTGGGAAATTCTGGTATTATCTTTCATTTACAGATACATTACACTGAGAAGCAATTAAGTCATTCTTCTCTTTCATTGCCGAGTTCTCAAAAATCTCCTGTGCCCTGTTGAAGGTGTCCAACTGTGATACAGCTCCTAGTGTGATAAAGCTCTTGCAGTTTGTTACTCGAGTGAGGAGTAGTTTGCTTTGGCCTTTCTTCTCTGCTGTTGTCATTGGCTTTTGAGGGTCCCCTGCTATTGCTGGTGGTGGAGGACTGGGCGGTCAGCAGTCTGGTTCTTCAGTGGTGATCTGATCACCCGAGTGGAGCATCTTCCTGGGTGGACAAGGAGAGCTTAAGCTCATAAAGACTAAGGGAGAGTCTCTGGGTACAGGCAGAGCTGTCTTTGGTGTTCTGTAACAGTTCACTAGAAAATACGCATTTACCAAGGAAGTGCAGGGATCAAGTCTGAGAGCTCTGGTAAGGTGGAGATATCAGTGGAAAGAACAGGGCTTAGGAGAAGTCTTTTGAGTACGTGTGAAACCAGGGTTTGTTATGTCTGTGTTACAGGCCTCTGTGCTGCAGAACATCCGAACAGCCATGAGGAGGCAGATGAGACGACACTCGTCACGACGGAGCTCATCTCGGCGGCGCTTGGGCAGGCTCTGGAACAGACTCTTCCACAGACCTCGGGTGAGGGGACAGATCCCGCTCCTGACACCTGCCCGCACTTCACAGACCACCCTGGGCGATGGAATCATCAACCGTGCCGATGGGCCTGCTCGGAGTCCTCCACCTTCTCCTGAAGGACCTAGTTTAGAGGCAAATGCCCATGGCCTAGCCAGGGCCCTACAAGAAGCTGGGTGCCACAGCTCGCAGCCAGAGACTGAAATCACAGAGCCATCGCCTTCAAATGTCTTACCCCATACTTGCACAGCAGCACATGCAGAGCCTGAGGCTGGACGCGCTGACAAGCCTTCGGGTGCTGAGACCTCTGGCAGTGAGCTTACCCAGCCCAGTAAAGTGGATTCAGGAAAGACTTTCAGAGATCCTTTGTCTGAAAGTGTGACAGAAACAATCCATGGAGGGTCAGCGCCCAGGAGGACTGTCCCTGAGGACAGTAGTTTAAGTAGAAGTCATCCGCTGAGTGAAGAGCCATGTAGGTTACCCTTAAAAAAGTGGGAGTCTGCTTATTCAGATGGCCCAATGAATGTTCATATCCCAGTGGATGGACAGAACCGATGTTGCCCTAACTCCTACCGGGAGGAGCCTCTGGGCATTCATGCAGCTTGTTGCCATTCTGTGGAAGTGCCAATGGTAGAGTCCTCTACTCCCCTCTCTGAAATCAATACTAGTGATGATGAATCTTTACTTGTTTGCTAATAAAAATTTTTGGTTTGGCCCTGTAAGTTTTGTAACGTCATTGCTGACATGCCAGTGCACTTTGGAGACGGGTGGTGTGTCTATGCCCTCGGCTCCGTCTCAGAACCAGCAAGTGCTGATCCCCAGGGAGGCAGAACCAGACTCACTGGGACAAGGCTTTGCCTTCGTTGCTATTCCTGAAGCTCCAGTGGGGCAGAAGTAGGTCAGTGGGGGACGTTGGGGGCCGGGAGAGCACGAGTGTGTCGCTGCGGCTTGGAGGTATCTCCATCCTCTGGTGTTCCTTCTGTGCGTTTATTCACGCTGCATTCAGGGAATTACCCTTCCTTTGCTTTTCAAGTGGTCTTACTGAAACTAGAGAGAGCTCTGTTGGAACCTGGAGCAGGCACCACTCCTAACTATGACTACTAAACTAGAAATAACATTGTTGTCTTTTTAGACATCATGATTTAATTAAAATGTAATATTTTTAATTACAAATACTTAAAAGGAAATAAAATCTTTTGTAGCATCCTCTTTATAGAAATTGCTCACTTCCTTTGCTCCCTTTAGAAACGGCCATGCATACTTTGCAGTGTCCACTAAAACCAAAGTTTCTGTGCAGAATGCTCAGAATGAGAGGAGGTCTCTGAGCTGCCACAGCTTTGTGACAGGAGGTGAGCGGAGCACATCCAGCCCCCGCTGCTGCAGTATTTCCTTTTTCTGTTGTCATATGTTACATTCCTTTCATAGTGAGGTTCTGAAGGTTGAAGAATTCTTTGCCTTCTCCCCACCTTCTTTTTCCCCTTGTCCCTTCTGTTTCCAGGGACTTTTATGACTGTGCCACTTTGGGTGTGCCCTGAAGGATGCTGAGGCTTCACAGCTCCTGTTGCTGCAGGAGGAAGTGCTGAGCACTTGGTAATGGTCAGGCTCAGACTTCTATTTTATTTTGAAATAAAATCTGCTTCACAAGCTTGCTTGTAAATCTGCTACCTAGGTGCAGATGTATATATCAGGTTTTTTTTTTATTTTTAGAGGATGCTATTTTGTTTTATTTTTCTTTCAAAAACTGAAATAGGTCATTTTCAAAGCCAACGCTGTGTGCATTGCACAACACTTAAATGTAAACTGGTGCCTTTTTGTGTAATTAAAAGGAAGTTATTTAGCTGGAAGAAGGGTGACATTGCTTAGCAGGAGTGACACTGCCCTGTGATACCTTGGCCCTGTCGCGGTGTTGGCCGGGCTCCCCCGTGCCCTAAGGAGCTCAGCTTCAGCTCCCACAGGACGCAGGGACAAACTGAAATGCTTTATATAGAGATTAACAAGGAGATTGGTGATGCTGCTCTGTAAATGGCCGAGTGCTCTGAAACCTTTTTATTGCTGTAGGAATTCAAGTTGCCCAAAGTTATGAACTGACCTGGTCACGCTGAGATGGAGATGGGCTCTGCTGCCCACCGGACCCCCCGGCTGTCCTCTTGCAGTGAGTGGCTGAGTTTACATCAGAGTCTCAAAGATGGTTTTCCTGTAAGTGGGCTATATTTTGCCCTAGATCTTTTATTAGGACTCCCTTTGGGAGTGCCTGAAAAAGAACAAGGAATAGGACTTTCACTTCACCAAAATGTAACGTGGAGGAATTAAATTGATTTTTTTCCTTTTTTTTTTTAATCCTCTTCAGTTGTAAATTGGTTTCATTCTGTGCACTCCAGAGACAGAAGATTCAAACTCCTTTAGGGCATTAATAGCAGGAAGGGCCTGTGGCAAAATGCGTAACAAGAAAGAGTTGTAGTTACATAAAATAAATATTGCTCAGTCATTTTTTCCAAGTGCTTCTGGGATCAGAATTCATTTAATCAAAGGAAATGTAGTTTTGACGGATCTTGCTTTCATGGCATTTGAAAACATTTTAGGTACATTCCACCTTTAGAAGGCCACATACTGTAGTCATTGCACTGCCAGGGTTGTTCGTATCAAAGGCTACAGGCTTTGATGTCTTTTTGGTCTGGTTTTTTTTTGTTTAGGTTTTTTTTTTTGTCTAAAGGTAATTTTAAGTACATTGAATTGTATATGTAATGTAGTTAATTATAATTGGGAGAAAGATTATATTTCAAGGTTAGTATTGTGCAGATGTGAAGGACCTTAGAAATAAGTATGTATTTAATTGTTACAGAAATGTATTTCTGTAATAAAATAATGTTGGTCATACTATGCCTTAAACTATCAAAGCTCTTTAAGTTGAAATATGTATTCAGAATCCTGCTATGCTTTAGGAACAACCCTGAACAGCTAACACTGTATTTTATTTTAAGATGTGTAACTTCACATTTCTTACATATATCGTACTTATTTTGTGCACTGATCCATTTGGTAACTTAGTGGAAATTTCATTGAGAAGGCTTTATTTTTGGAAACTTAAAAAAACCAACAGGTTAATGAAAATTTGATGCTTGAAGTATACAGAAATGTTCCCAGCCCTCACTACTGGAATTTGTAGCCTTGCATCAATGAGAGACACAAGCCTGGGGCTCCTTGTAAGCACCTCTTAATCTGCCAGACAGTATTCTCCCCCAGCTCATTCCTTGGAGGAGAGAGTCACAAATCTATGGTTAATTTTGGGGAAGAAACCCCAGAGCATTGCAGGGTCTGGTGCTTTGGCCCTTCCTCTCCCCAGCGTCGGGTGCCGCATCAGCCATCTCGAGGACACCCACCTCCTCTTTGGGTATGCTGCTGCCCTGTAGGCACAACTTCCTCAAACTAAAGAAAAAAAAAAAGAAAAAATGTGGGAAACTGGGACTGTGCCAGACGTGAAAACAAAGATCTCATTATTACGTTTCTTTGCTCAGTGGAAAATATCACACTTCAGTCACTAAATAGCCTAAAGTTAATCAGCTAATAACCTTGGTAAAATTTTTGTTATTTTAATAATGCTTTTCTGCACTCTTTTAAGATTTTTGTAGACAGAAGGAAACACAGTATTTAAGGTGGCTTTTATTGTTTGTTTTTTTGGGTTGTTTTAAAAATACAAAACTCCCCAGTCCAAGCAGAGAACCCTCCCTAAAACTCTCTCTGCCTAGAGAAGAATAGCGACAGTGGTTTGAGGAGAACGGGAACACAGAGGCAGCACTAAGGGATCAGTGACCCCCCCACTGTTTTCTCTTACTGCTGTTAACACATGGGGAATATTGCTGTTTGAAACTCTGGCACCTTCCAGCTTGTGTATGACTGTAACATCCTGCAAATGTACTTGTTTTCTTTTTCTGTTCTCTGCTTTTTAAAAAATTTTATTTCCATGTTGTATCTATTCATTTAGAGGTAACATTTTACCACGACGTTTGTACCGGTGTGTGGTTCAGGTGTGCCATCATGGTTGCTGGTGTCTCCTGGTTCCTGGACAATGATACTAAGCAAATAAGATGCTGGGCATCATCGTACTTTGCTCTCGCTTTGGATCTACTAATTTTTAATAAAATTTCACGTGCCCAGAGACTGTGGGTTTCTGACTGTCACTCAAACACCGACGATCGAGGGTGTCTAAACTGTACATCCACAGCTTTTGTTTGACTCTGACCCTGCGTGTGCTGACCTGTAGCTCAGTATGTGACATGAATATGAAGGGTGAGGTTAGGTTTGGTTTTTGGTTTGTGTAGTTTTGGTTTGGTTTTTTTTGTTGGTAGCTGAAACTGTGGAGGTGCATCACTTCTTTAGGTAGTGCTAAGATTTCACAGGTACTAGCAATTCACATTGCATACGACTGCCTTTACAATGCACATATGCATATACCCTAAATAACAAAAAAAAGCCCTGAAGTGTACAGGTGATTAAAAAGCAAACCCCAATAATTTCTGAAGTAGAGCCTGTTGTCCCCATGGTCAAAGGCAGCGCCACTTGAGCTGATGCTTCCCCTTCCCATAAGAGGTTCCACTCAAATATGAGGAGAAACTTCTTCACAGTAAGGGTGACAGAGCCCTGGAACAGGCTGCCCGGGGAGGGTGTGGAGTCCCCTTCCTTGGAGATTTTCAAGACCCACCTGGATGCTCCTGAGTAACATGCTCTGACAAGCTCTAGGCGATCCTGCTTCAGCAGGGGAGTTGGACTAGATGATCTCTATGGTCCCTTCCAACTCTAAAATTCAGTGAAATTCAGTGAAATTTACATGTGTGCGTAAGTACACACAAAACCACTCCTTTTTCTTTAGGTAAATATGTATTTTAATCTCTTATGATTAACAGCTTTATACAGAGAGAATAGCATAAGTTGTGTTTCTTTTTAGTGCCTGCCATCTGACAGTTTGGTGAGAGATGGATAGATATTTAAAAATAAAAAAAAAAATCCTTTGAATAATACATTGTGTTAGAAAGATATGTTCCTTGAGCTTGCTCCTTATTTTGAGTTTATTCTTAAATCTTTGTAGAGCATGTGGTACTTGACACACTAAGAGATTAATGAATCCTTAATTTTTGTACCAGGGCCTGTAACACACAGAAAGATACTTTTAAAATGAAATTCCCATATCTGTTACCAAGGCTACTGAACCTGGTAGTTTCTGTTTTCAAAAGTTGCGAAAAAATAGAAGCGATTCACAATATTGCTCGGAGCTGTTCTTGCATTTTGCATTTGAATTCTGTGATTTTCAAAAGGTTCTTTGGTGTGAAAGTGGCCATATTGCTGCAGCAGCAAGCCTCTATATATTAATTAAATATGTGAACTAGATTTTTTTTTCCTAGTGTTTGCAACAAATAAAATATGCAAAACACCTTCTAAAGAGCATCTGATGTGAGAACGATTTAGGCTTGTTACTTGGCTGAGCACAGCTGAAATGGGGAGTTTGCCTCTGAAGCAGAGTGACATCAGCTGATGCTGGTAAAAAGGAGAAATGCTGGGCTTTGTTCTCCTCTTTCTCTCCAGTTCCCACCGCTGACCCGCTGCAAACCCCTCCACACCTCCGTCCTCCCCCGTTGGTACCTGCATCCTGCTGGGTTCCCATGCAACGAGCTCTGGCCCCAGCCAGGATAAGGAAACCCAGCTCTGCCTTTGCAAAAATGCTTCAAAATTGAGATACTTGAGATTTGTATCACTACTTCTGTGTGTTTCTTTCTGTGTCACCAGACGAGGATCAAACAGGCTGTTGATTTTGTGCCCTGGGTTCTCAGGTCTCAGGGGGTCGGTGTGGAGTGCAGGGACACTGGGGCCGGCCGTGCCGGGGGCCGCCTGTGGAAGGGTGATCTTCTGGGATGTAACGCGTGTTACGTGGGGATTCAGCGCACCCAGGGGCCGCAACAGGGATTTTCCTGCTGGCATGGGTGTCCAAGGGGCTCCTCACTATCTCTTGATTTCACCACTTTGATTTTTGCAGTGGGAGCTGCCCTACTTTTGAAATGTCTAAATTTGTGTGTCTCTGATGGACCCTCATGGCTGCTAAAATCAGTATTCCAAAGCTGTATCTGTGCTGCTTTCCCCTGCTGAGCAAGTACGCTGCCAGAAAAACACAACCAGTGCCTTATTTTATATTTTATTTCTTTTCTTTTCTTTTTTTCTCTCTTCTTTTTTTTTTTTTTAGGGAAAAAACTAAGGATGCCATAAAGGGTGTAGCTCATTTTATGGGCTTCACTATTGGAGCTCTAAAAACATTTTTTTTCTTTTTTTTTCCAGAAAAACTTTTTGCAAAAATTAGCATGTAAACAAGAAGCCACTTCAGCCTGGGAGGCCGTGTCGCTATTTCCTCACAGCCGTCTCGTTCACTGGTGGCCGAGAGTGGGCCGAGGGTGCTTCCTCCTCCTCGGCAGCTTCCCCCTGAGGGTAGACCACAAAACACAGCTTCTGTCCCCAGGGAAAAAACTAAGGATGCCATAAAGGGTGTAGCTCATTTTATGGGCTTCACTATTGGAGCTCTAAAAACATTTTTTTTCTTTTTTTTTCCAGAAAAACTTTTTGCAAAAATTAGCATGTAAACAAGAAGCCACTTCAGCCTGGGAGGCCGTGTCGCTATTTCCTCACAGCCGTCTCGTTCACTGGTGGCCGAGAGTGGGCCGAGGGTGCTTCCTCCTCCTCGGCAGCTTCCCCCTGAGGGTAGACCACAAAACACAGCTTCTGTCCCCAGCAGGTCATGGACTCTGCGAAGAGCAAAGGTGCAGGTGGTTAATGGGGATGCTCAGGCTCTGCTCAGCAGAAGCGCAGTGCTGGGGCCATCCGAAGAGACCGAACGTACATCCCGCCGGGAGGGAAGCAGAGAGGGGGGGAGGAATCCATTCATTAGTCCTTTTGCGAGAGCTCATTTTGCCTTCATGTGCTTAAAGTTGCACACCTGTATGTCTGCTCCAGGCCGGGTGCCATGGGCGAGTTGAGTGGGTGGGCAGTTGCACAGGGGCACAAGAGGAGGCAGAAGTGAGCACTGCAGTTGCCCAAAGGCAAGCACTGCCTGGCCACTTTGTGCCCACAACCAAGAGCAGCTGTGGGGCTCGTGTGGCCAGTTCCCTGGCTTTTTGAGTGCCCTTGCACCCGAGGTTAACAGATCCCTGCAGCCCTGAGCAGCCCCAGGAGCACAGTGAGGCACCGCGGCACTGCCTTACCTATTAGCCTATTTACACACTTTGGTTTATTTCTCCAGTAGACTCCAAGGAAAAACACTGGCACTCCAGTTAAAATGATAATGAGTCCAACGCCACAGACGACCGGCTCAGAGTATAAGCTGAAGATCAGCAGAAATGCCCAAAATGCCAGGTAAGTGATGGGGATGAGGAGATTCACCTACCAGGAGAGAGCAGAGCAGAGCAGAGCACGTCATGTCCCCCTTCCCTCCACCACTGTTGTCCTCTCTGCCCATCCTGGCAATTTCACAAGGGGTCTGCCTGTGTGTCCCGTTTCTATACTCATGGCACTTCGGGACATGGTTTGGATCTTAAAGCACTATCACTACATCAAAAACCAAACCCTCCCTCAAACCAGGAGGATGGAGAGCTCAGTGTGCCTGTCCCACCCTTTGCATCACTATTGCAACCAAGAGATTTAGCTTTAACATTGTCACCTTGATTGGTCTGAAGATTTTGGGTTTCTTCCAGCGCAATACGATCAGGCCTATAATTGTCACTCCGTAGCAGAGGTAGTTGATAAATGACACGTAATTGATTAGCGTGTATGTGTCTCCAACAAGCATGATTATGAGAGTGGCCAAACACTGCAAAGAGAGAGGCACAGCCTTACTTTGGTCATTACTAGAAAAGGTGGCTTAAAACAAGCAAAAAAACATAAAAGCAGTTGAACTCCTTTTGTCTCTGGCCCCTGCTGGGCACGACCTTTTGGTCTGTTACTCCAGGCTCCCTTTTTGCTTATGTCCCTTTTTCTGAATTGGCTGTTTCAATAGCAAAGGCCTCTTGGGAAGGGGGGCTTCTGCTCCAGCAACCAAGCACCACCGCAATCAAATGGCCCTTTGGTCCTTCCATTCCCCCGTTCAAAGCATCAAAGGCTTGGCAGGGGGATTTCAACACTATGAGCAGTGTCCCACAAAATGGATGTAAAGCAGGGCTGTGTTTTGTATCGCTGTGATGTAAGGTGTTCCCTGCTCTCCTCAGGCCGGCGCACAGTGTCACACACAGACCACCCTCTCCTGCTGCCACGGGGCTTTGCAGGAACATCACTGGGAGCAGTGGGATCTCGTTGGTGGGTGGGTGACACCGAGGTGTGAGCCCTGCTCCCGTCATGGCGGTGATCCCGGGGTGGCAGCAGGCACAGAGGGACCCGCTGCTCCCCCCGACGCTGGCCGCAGTCGCACGCAGGCAGGAGAAATGGCCGCCCCCCACCATCCTGCAAAAAAACCCCTCAGTCTGTTTATTTTACATTTAGCTTGGCCTCTTGATTTTTGAAGGGATTAGTAAAAATACAGGTCTCCCTGGTGGTGTTAAAAAGGCCTTTCTCCACATACAAAGAAACTTTTCTCCATGCAAAGACCTAGGTATGATTCACTGGAAGAGAAAAAGGAGCCTGATGTGTTAATTGGGTTTTGCCTAAAGTCTGACCCCATTTGCTCTTGTAGCTGCCTACACTGTATTATTTTTATATTTCTATTTGTTAAGAGATTAGTATTTCCCAGCAGCATTTGATATGCCCCTGGTCCGCAGCACTGCAAGATGTTTTGCTCATTGAGAGTGAGTAACTCTGGGAGCACTTTGTCCTCTCCCTGCCGTGGCTTTGGTGGCAGGATTGAGAGCAGCCCTGCCTGAGTGGGAGTAGCAGGGACTGTGGGGACTTCCAACTGTCTGTGGAAAGCAGGCAAAATTGGTCAAAAGAGCTCATCTCTTCTTACATGAAGTATCTCTGTTTCAAAAGCCAGTCCCTCAGTTTGGGTTTGAGGGGGCGGTTGGGAGCCAGAGGGGTTATTCCCAAGGCCGCAGTCAGAGCTGCTGGGCCAGGGCCCACCCGCAGCACTCGAGGCACATGCGTGTCTGCTCTGGGGTAAAACGTGGTCTCCCAAGGACTTTTCCAGCTCTCATG